GCCTGCGCGTGCTGCTCCTGCCCCGCAACCAGCTGCGGGCCCTGGAGCCCGAGCCGCTGGCCGGCCTGGCCCAGCTGCGGGAGCTCAGCCTCGCACACAACGGGCTCCGCCTCGGGGACATCGGGCCGGGCACCTGGCACGAGCTGCCGGCACTGCAGGTCAGGGGCAGGCGGGTTCAGGGCTGTCCCTGTCCCGCCACCACCCTGAGACTCCATGGAAAAATACATCCTGGAGAAGAGGGGAGCAGAGGCAAATGGCTGTTGGCAGGGGAGAGTAGTTGCGCCTACCTGTAATCCCAGCCCTTAGAAGCAGAGGAGAGTAGTTGGGCGTGGTGGCGCCTACCTGGAATCCCAGCCCTTGAGAGGCTTAAGCAGGAGGAGACCAGTGTGGGTTACTGGGGGCGGGGAACCTCTAGGGATTGGCAGGACGGCAACAATGCCCAGGACAGGGGACCCACCAGAGGAAGGAACTCATTTTACCTGAGTGGGGAGTTTGTCCCCCATGATAGGGTGGGAGGGAGGGGCCTGAGGCTGGCCGCGGCCATGGTGCTGTGTCCTGCCAGGTGCTGGACCTGAGCCACAACGCGCTGTCCTTTGTGCCCCCGGACCTGCCCGAGGCACTGGAGGAGCTGCACCTGCAGGGCAACCGTATTGGCCACGTGGGCCCCGAGGCCTTCCTGAGCACGCCGCGCCTGCGCACCCTCTTCCTCAGGTGCAGCAAGATGGGGAGGGTGGGGGGGGATCCTCCGGGGCCATGGCCTGGCGTCACCCCATCTCCTCACACCACTCCGTCTCTGCGCAGAGACAACAGGCTGCACCTGACCAGCATCTCGGCCGAGGCCTTTGTGGGGCTCAGGCACCTGCGCGTGGTGGACACGGCGGGGAACCCGGAGCACGTCCTGGTCCGGATACCGCCCTCGGCCCCACGCCAGCCGCGCGCAGCGCGCTCCCGACGCCCCGGGCCACCAGGGAGCAGCACCGATGACCCAGCCTCCTTGTGAACCCCAAACTTCCAGGGCCACCCACAGGCAACAGGATGACAAATGCAGCCGGGCACCCGAGGCTCACGCCTGTCATTTCTGCCACTCAGGAGGCTGAGGTCCGAGGATCACAGGCTGAAGCCAGCCCTGGGCAGGGAAATCTGTGGGACTCTTATCTCCAATGGACCAGCAAAAAGATGGGAGTGGAGCTGTGGCTCAAGTGGCAGAGTGCCAGCCTTTAGCTAAAAAGCTCAGAGACAGCGCCCAAGGCCTGAGTTCAAGCCCCAGGCCTGGCACAAAAACCAAACATAAGATAGACATAGAACTCAGGAGTGGGGGCACCCCCTTTCTGTTCCCCCTGGGGTGGGCAATGGGGTTGGGGGGACAGCCCAGAACAAGAAACAAACACCACAGAGCCCACTGGGTGTGACCCTCTGTTTATTCCACACGTAGGCCAGGGGCCCAGCTGGGCAGCCGCAGCCCCCCACCCCGGGGTCCCCCCCAGTGGCTTCTTTGGGGTGTGGGAGGGCTGCAGGGTTAAGGCCCGGGAGAGATGGGAGGTAAAGTGCTGGCGGAGGCCCCGGGGGTTTGGTCCAGGGCGGGCCAGACAGAGCCCGACCCCGGGGTGTGCAAACAGGACTTGGGGGCCGGGGGTGAGGTCCAGGCACCCCGGCCAGGCTGGGGCAGAGGGGGGGGACTGGAGGGGGCCGAGTCTAGATCGATTGTCCGCTGATTGTCTGCCGTGGGCTCCGGGCCGCCCCGACGGGCCTCACCTGCGGAGCCGCTGCAACTGGGGAGAGGTTAGGGGTGAGGCCTCCCCCCAACGCCGCGCCCCGTCCCGGCCGCCCCGCGCTGCCCCGCGCCCGCCCCGCACCCCTCCACTCACCTCGCTCTCCACCAGGTTCCGCCTGTACAGAGCCTCCTTGGCAGCCTCCTGGGGGGTCGGGGGGGGGTGTCAGCGGGCCGGGCCGGGCCCCCCCATCGTCCCCCCCCGCCCGGTGACCCCGCCCCCTGCCCGCCTCACCCTGCTGCCGTCGTAGCCCAGGCGCCGGGCGGCCTCGGTGTAGAACTGCAGCTGGCGCTCCAGGTGGCTCGCGTACTCTGGGGATGGCTGGGGGTCAGAGGCTGGGTGCCCCCTCCCGACCCCCAGCCCCGTGCCTCCCCCACCCCCGGCCCCTACCCCGGCGGAGCGCGGCGCCGCCCTGCTCCAGCTGCGCCCGCTGCCACTGGCTGCGCTGCACGACGTCCTGGTACTGCTGCGCCACGTCCGCG